ACGGAGAGCAATGCGATGCACTCGCGAATGTACCGACTGAACACGTCATCGAACGAGGAACGGGTGATATTGTTGACTGTGACGGAGCTCCCGCAATCGGCATTCCGCCGACAAAGCACTGCCGGGAAGGTCATCAGCGAGGAGTGCATCGCAATCTCGTTCCCATCATCTCAGAAATGCGCAAAACAGGTGCAACGCCCGCGGCCATACTAACGGAATTACACAGCGCGTGGATCAACGGCGGTTTACATGATAAGATTACTGGCAAGGGGGATCTCCCGAGTCAGAAACAGTTGAAGGTGCGCCCGCTCTAAAAATGAGCTGTGTGAGACTGACAATCATGTACCCCTTTTACAGAACTTCTTCCATCGCAAGGAAGCTGCAGGTGGAGATTTGACAGTTGAAGAGGTACAAAGATACCTGCAGCAACACGCCATTCCCAGCACAGCGGACGCGTTCCACGCGCTCCGCCCAGGTACCACTTTTGCACTTCCATTTGACGCAACCATGCTCACTCCAGGTGAACTACAGCGCGCACAAAAGGTACATAGTGCCGAGTTTGGTACTGTCGCGAAAGAGATAGATGCCATTCACGATAAACTCGTCATCATGAGCAGCAAAGAGATGATAGTTGATGCTCTCGCATGTATCGACGCTTGGGAAAACTGCCTACCACTGGGTGGTGATGGCATCTGGAGCGTGCTGAACAAACACCAGTCAATGTTGTGCTCAATAGGGTCGCGATCGAACTATTGGGATACAGAGAGCCGTGATCTCAGACAAGAGTTTCGAGTTTTCGCCTTTGGTTGGTACGCGGCTGAGTGCGCTATCATTCCCATTGCCATTTGCGCATCGGTGCGGCACGTTGTACAGCAACTCTTCAAAAAACAATTCCCACCTGTGAAAGTATGGAACTCGGATGATCACGTCGCATACGCGGCGACGCGAAAAGTATTGTTCAACGTCGATGGCGTCGCGTTCTGTCCATGCCCGGTCCACATCGTGCGGCGGATCACGGAACAGAAAATTGGAAGCGAAGACCACTATGAAGAACTTGCGATGCAGTGCACCCTGATGAAGCATGCTGGCTCACATGCGCAATTTGAACACATCAGACTGGCTTCGATAGACATTTGGGCGCGAAAGAACGTGGAGGAGTGCATTCATGCGCTCGAACTACTTGAAAGCAAGCCATTCCACGCCACGCAATCTGGTTTGCCCGGTCATGTCTCAGACAATCAACCCATTGAAAGTTTGCAGAAAGTGATTCGTGAGTTCGTCGGAAGGAAGCAACACAATCCACGATCATTCTTCTACAACGTATTAGGGCGATTGATGGAACATATATCGCGACGTTTAATTGTGATGTCGGACCAGCGGCCTGTTTTCACTGTCGCCACTATGACCGGGTATGAAGCTTCTATGCAACTGCATGCTCTTCAAGCGCCGTTGACCGACTACACAGAGTGGCGAAAAGTCGCTTTCCGCGTGCCGCAAACAGACGACGAGACGTACATTCTTCCCGCTTTGAGCATCGTTGAATCACGACGCGATGGTCGGCGTTCCGCGCGTATGTACCAGGTGAAGGTGCAGCTTGTTGAAGAAGGTCCTGCCATGAATTATTACAATACGCTGGTGGGCGTACCAGCGCCCCATTCGTACGACAGCACAAACGAGATAAAGGCAGCGATTGGCGCGTATAACATGATTAAAAAAGTCACAGACCAGGATGTGGCTGGTTTACCGCGGGCGATAGCCACTCACATGCTACAGAACAAGTGGATGTGTAACTGTTTGGAGTTCATGCGAAGAGTACAATGTGGTCACACCTTGTACGGCAGATTTGCCGACCATCCAGATTCGCCGAGGTGGCATGCAGAAACACTTCTAAGGCAGCGCTGGTGTAAGGCAAAAAGCCTGCGTAAAAAGGATTTGCCTGGTCTGCGTCCCAAAGCACGTGAGGATGAAAATGTAGAGTTAGGCAAGTATGAAAACATCGATCGACTCAGGCCCAAACGTCGGAACACGAAGGGAGTGATCACTCCCGCGCCGCGAAAAGACTCATCCAAGTTAGTTCGCTCGCCGTTATCGCCCGATTACATTAATCGCACGGTGACGAGGTCTGCACAAGGTTTGCCCACCCCTTCAAAAAGTAACTCACTTCAAGAGTTGGCTGGAATCGTGGCCATGTCCAATCGCGGACAAGGTGATATCACGTCAGCATTGGAGAGCTGGGCACGCAAGATTAAGCTACAGAGCGGAATACATGGCGGCATCGACGAGTTCTGCGAGGAAATACTGAGAAATGGACAATGGCAATTTCATCCATGGTACTTGGCACATTTCTTCAATCTGGGGGACGAGAATGAATTACCACGAATCTTTCGTCAGCCGTCAGGCGACGCATTGCAATACAAGGCTGCAGACTGCAGAACCAGGAGAAGATTCATCGAACAATACACGGACTCGCACACTTGTCCGAAATTGACGAATGCGAATATGTATGAAATCTGTTCTGATTCAACTTGGTTGGCAAACTATCACGTCAACCCAATTTTGGACTGCATACAATTCGATTTGCGTGCAATGGGGAGACGATGCTCGATTGTAGGACCTATTTTACGTGAGTCGGAGCTAATGACGACCGGCCGTGTAGCTGTCGAGCAAGACTATCGTAACGCCCTGTCGATGACATCTCATGGGAGGAATGCAAGGTGGTATGAAAGTGATGATATTTTTTTCGTGTGGCAAAATGGGGCTAGATGCCATTGGTTCGCGTATCATTTCAAGTACGAGCGCGGCTCATGGACCTCACGCAGGTACGACTCTATGCAGGTACTCAGAAGCCACAAGTTCAATGCACAGCACGTTCCACTTCCACCCGATGACAAGGAGGAAGTGGAAAAGCTCGGACAGCTCTTGACGTTTGCCGTTCGCGAATGGCACAGAACGCAACCTGAAAACGATGAAGCTGCATCGAAGCACAAGGCGCTGGAAGCAAAAGTACGTTTCGACTCGAAGACATGGCCACCTCAGCAGGTCGACGGGTCGTCCTGTGGAGTACTTACAGTTTACAACATCACCTTAGCTGCCATGGGTATTGCCATTTCACCGAAACTGTACGTGACGCATTGTGGGGAGCAGCACTTACGAAATAAGCTCGTACACGCTTTGCGCGATATAAAAAATGTCGACTCGCGTTATTGGTACGCGAACGTGAAGGATCCATTACACGTGTACTATGATGAACTTGAATTGGACACATCTATTTGGTGCTTAAGCGGCTAGTTGTCCTATCACATTCTGAACTTCCATATGTGCTTCTACTTAGCGCGCCGCTTTGTCAATATGACATTCACGACACGTTCTCCTGTGACGCGAAAAACGTGAGTAACTCGCTATGGTCTTCGCCGACGCCAACCGGATGTACACCTTTTTAGGCTCACATTCCAGACAACCCCGTTTTACCCGCTTTTACCCCACTTATTCCTTGAGTCATAACTCGTCAATCGACTTCCGTGATCGGGCAGGAGGCAGAGCTGCGCGCAGAAACTACTATGCCGTCGTCGTGCTGGTGCACTGATCGATGCGAAACTTTGTTGAATGGTGCATGGCATTGTTTTACGCCTACAGACCTAATTTCAGAGCAATGCGCTACGCCGTGTCGACACGGCGTGCGTTTTTATGAACAGTCTCATTTACACTAAGATAAACGTAGGTCTCTTTAAAAACGTAGGGAAAATGAGACTCACCCGTGTGTGTGTATGATTGCAAAAAGTGTGTGTGATTGGTGTGTGATTCAGGTGTGTGGTTGGCCGTGATCATGACTCATCGAGCAGTGACTCCACACAGCGTGAATAAACCCGATCTTTGACGACCGAGTGCACCGTCGACACGCGCTGCGCGCCGCTGGAAATCGGGGAATGATGTTAAAAACGCACGTTGAACGGCATCGTCGCGTAAACTGTGCGTGAGCAAGTCACGCGCGACCGTATGCTCAACGGGTGACGCACGTTTGGAAAATCGGGAAATAAGGCGTGTGTCACCTATCACTAAAGTGCCCAGGTCTAACATATCCGTGACTATGAGATATATACAATCGCGGCCGCGATGCGATGTAACGCTAACCTGCGAACACTTTCGAGTCGTTGCAGCGTTCGTCCCACCGAACAGCCCCGCGTGCACGGCGTGTTCAAGCTCCTGGATACATCGATATACCGCCGACGACATAACGCAACTGTTTTAGTTGAATCGCACGGCGCATCAAGCTAGAAATCGCACGGTGAACATGGAGCGCGAGTTCGTGAATTTTTTTCAAAAATTTGAAATCCCAGGAAACAGGGAGAGCTCAACCTACGCAGAAAAGCTACAGCATGACGAGTGTAGATTAGTGGTGAACTTGGACCATGTACGAATGTTTCGACCATCGTTGGCGCAGAGTATTTTGAATGACCCAGGTACAGCACTGAGCGCCATGAAGACAGCTGTGGAATCTCTTTCAGCCAAATTAACGAGTGCCGTTCATCTCAGCGTATCAGGAAACTTTGGAAGTTATGAACTTTCGCCGAGACAGCTGCTTTCAAGATATATCAATAAGATGGTAAAAATTCACGGCATCGTGACGAAGTGTTCTGCTGTGAACCCAAAAGTTCAAACTCTTGTTCAGTACTGTCCTAGTACAGGAAAACTTTCCAATGGTCAGACGTATCGTGATGTGACCACACTCACTGGTAACATTACTGGTAGCAGCTATCCGATCAGAGACCAAAGTGGAAACGCATTAGAAATTGAATATGGACTCGGTACATACATAGATCATCAACGTATATGTGTTCAAGAACTACCAGAAAAGGCGCCTGCTGGCCAACTACCAAGATCAATAGATGTCATTCTGGAGGATGATTTAGTCGATGCATGCAAACCAGGTGACCGAGTCAGTGTGGTTGGAATCTATAAAATTGTTCCAGTTCAACAAAGTAGCACTTGCGTGTTTCACACGGTTTTGGTAGCAAATCACTGTGAGAAACTACTCAAGGAAGCCTCTATAGTTCCAAACCTGAATGAAGTTGAAGATATGAAAAAAATGGCTCATTCGATCGAGGCAAACCAACTTCTAAAGTTACTTGGTCGCTCTTTGGCTCCATCCATCTGCGGACACGAACACATCAAGCAAGCATTGATACTCCTACTTGTTGGCGGTAATGAGAAGAACTTAGAAAATGGCGCGCACATACGAGGTGATATTAATTGCCTGCTCGTTGGCGATCCCTCGGTCGCCAAATCTCAGCTATTGAGAAGTGTCATGGGTGTTGCACCGTTCGCGATCAGCACAACTGGTCGTGGATCATCTGGTGTTGGGTTGACAGCGGCTGTGACAAGCGATGCAGAAACAGGAGAACGTAAATTAGAGGCAGGTGCAATGGTTCTTGCGGATCGCGGTGTCGTTTGTATCGATGAATTTGACAAAATGAACGATATCGATAGAGTTGCGATACACGAAGTCATGGAACAGCAGACAGTCACAATTTCGAAGGCTGGCATACAGGCATCCTTAAATGCAAGGTGCAGTGTTGTTGCTGCGGCAAATCCGTTGTATGGAAGTTATGATCACGCTCAAAGTCTTTCAAGGAATATAAATTTACCAGACTCACTTTTGTCACGATTTGACTTGCTTTTTATTATCCACGACACTTCAGATGCCTCTGTGGATCGCACGGTCTCCTCACATGTTCTTCAGCTCCACGCACAGTACTCAAGTATATTGAATGCACAAAGCAACCGGATTGGTGCCGAGTTGAGGACGCCAATCGAAACACGCAATACAGAACGATGGAGTTTTTGCAGCGCCCGCACCGATCCTGAAGGAGGTACTCTCTCGAAGGGAGACCTGCAGAAGTATTTGAGCTTTGCAAAAGACAGGCCTTGGGTGCAGCAACTGACAACTGAGGCTGAACTATGTATCGCAGAGCAATACGCCATTTGGAGATTAGCGAAGGTTGGAAAAAGCAAACAGGCCGCAAGCTCTGTCCCAATTACCGCGCGTACACTTGAGACGATGATCCGTTTAGCCAGTGCACACGCAAAGCTGAGACTATCGAGAAGTATTGACAAAATGGATGCACTCGAGGCTATACGCTTGCTGAAATATACTGTAGACGCGAGCGACGGAGCTTCAGTCTCGTTGGGTTCAGACTCGTTTGGCGAAACGTCTCAGGAAGGAGACAGTACCCTCTTCAAGAAAGGCTTCAGCGTACTCCGTGCACATCGGAATGCCATACCATTGGACGAACTGACAAGAAGCGCAACGACGTGGTCACCGAATCTGAACGCTGAAGCAGTCATGCGCATGCTAGAAGATATGCAAAACTCGAACGAGATACTTGTTCATGAAGGCACGGTGCACATTATTTAGTTGTAGATGCAACATTTCTCAGTGTGTCAAGTTGTCGACTTGGACTTTGGTATAAGCTTGCGTTGTTTTGATGCGTTCTTCTTTCTTTTTCGTTCAAGATTTTTCTCTAGCGCGCCATTTTTCTTCAGCTGTTCATACTTCTTGATAAGTTTTAGAATTTTGACGTCCACTGTGAGGGGATTTTAGCCATGTAAACTTCGTTTGTTCGTCGCAACGCACTCGACTTCATGTGATATTTACGTTTGCCGGAGCTCGCTGAAGCTTGACCCATTCTTTATGGCGTACACGGCGTACAAAATAAGTAGCACACAGGTCGTGTACGGACGGCGCACAAACCCCGATGAGGCGTGGGATCGCCATCGCGCTTCTTACTTGCTGCTTGATCCCCTCGAGTTGTAACGTTGTAACTCAAGTAAAAAACGCGAAAAAAATGACCCCCTAGCGAATCGACGAGTCGCGAATTGTCTCATCTCTTTTTACATGGAGGTTATTAGTACTCCATATCAAAAATAGCCTAACAAATGAATCGCTAGGCCGTCACTACGTGAAGGTTGACTCCTGGTTTTTGAGCCTCAAACTTAAAGTGTAGTGCTTGGTATTGACAAGGGGATAAATGTAAGCTTAAGGTCCCGTGGTGATCGCGTCGTAGCGCGTTCTGTGCGTAAAGATCTGTCGTTTCATTAAAAGTCTAAGCTAGTTGTCTCGAACTCTAGAGTCTACATGTAATGAGTTATGACTCGTCACATACTCAGGACTTGGGAAGGCTATATAACCGTATTTATAAAAAATCGAGCTCCAAATAGTTGTTCACACACATTTTATCGTGCACGTACGCGCATCCATGGGCCAAGAGGATGGGCGCCGCGTCCGGTAATTTGCGTCGAAATCACGCATCGCATGTCGTTGAGTCATGAAGTCATGACCCATCGGGCAACACACTCCACACAGTGTGAATGAACCCGATTTTTGAGATCTTTGACGACCGAGTGCGCCATCGACACGCGCTGCGCGCCACTGGAAATCGGGGAATGATGTTAAAAACACACGTCGAACGTCATCGTCACGTGAACTGCGCGTGAGCAAGTCACGCGCGACCGAATGGGCAAAAGCTAGGTTGGGTAAATCACGATCTATGGGTCGTGCTAGTGATTTGAATCACGATGTCGTGATTCAGATCGTGATGTAAAGGCAAACGCGCGTCGCGCGAGCAGGACAAGATCAGATCAAGCGGCGTCTGTGCATGCGCGCCGCGGGCTGGTCAAATAGGCTTGGAAGGTACCGGAATAAGGGTCAAGGTCGACCTCTGGAACCGAGCATTTTGGCAAGGACAGCCGCCTATCGATCACTCGAAGAGCGCCGCTGCCTGCTTGAAAGGTTGAATCACGACGTGACAGTCGTGATCGTGATTCAAATCACGAAGTTTCGGGTCGTGATTCAGATCGTGATCGTGATTTTACCCAACCTAGGGCAAAAGTGCACGCACATCCGGAAAATCGGGAAATAATGCGTGTGTATGTAACCTATCACTAAAGTGCCTACTAACGTTAATAGGTTACGATAAGGCCGACTAAGGCCGAGGGAGAGATAGATTGTGAAACGATAATTTTAACTTTGTCCCGTTAATTCTGCCCGGATACCGCTTAATTATCGCAACGGGGGAGATGGGTGAAATTTGTGATGAAAATTTGTGATGAACGTGCAGGAGTTACGTGTTTGTGTTGACAGGACGAAAACTATTTGCTCTCGATGATCGGAATTCTATTTGGTATTGCTTCGTACCGAATTCCTTTCTTCAATTCAAAAGCGCTCACCAAAGCGAATGAAAGTGGACGCCGTTCCACTGTTACAATCCACACACCACTCAGCGCGGACTGGGCCTAACTTGACTCCAGCACCGTGAGTTCTCCCCTTACCAGCACGTCGGTAGAATTCCGTAGGACTGCCGGACAATGTTGAGCTGGATGATAAATCAGAACATCGTTCCCAGAAGATGAAGCCATGTGATAACGTAATAGGTATCGGAATGCGAAGCTCAACTGCCGTCTCAAGGAACGAGCGTGCAGCACCAAGCTCGCCCACAGTGTAACCTCTACAAGAATGAGGGCCACCTAAAGTGAAAGCGTCATACGCCGCACAGTTCCCAAGAATATGGCCAGCGCGAGTGTGCAAGACAACGACTGGGGGAGGTTGAGAGCTTTTCTGGTTCTCTGGTAAAACTTTGAGGAAACGTGTCAATTCTAGCTTTGACCGGTTGAAAATCGGACCGTTCAGCCAGAAAGGCACTGACTGATCAACTTGTAAAATATCCCGGGCGCCAACTTGCGTACCATTCACGAATTTGGTAGTATCGCGCATCGCGTTTCCTTGAAGAAAAATCACACGATCCGTACCAGTGTCAGAAAGAGTCGTGCGGGGACCATCGAGAGATAGTGAGCCATTTGAGAGTTGCTTCGCTCCAAAGACACAGACAGCACCAGAATCATCGCGCGTAGTGACTTCTTCTAATACAGCACCGAGGGAACACTTGGATTGCCTCGTGAAGTTTTGACAGATGCCCGCCTTGATACCTGCTCTATCGACCCAGACACCGGGAACCTCTTGCATGAGAGGACCACCGGTGAAAACTGGTGAAAGTTTTCGTGAGTTGAAAGCAGCTGCTTTGAAAGACGTCCTATCCACATCTGTGTCACCCTTGCAATATGGATGATTGTACTCAAGTTTGAAACCGAGATCTTCTTGAGGTTGGAGAAAATTGGCCGTCGAAATGGATCCAAATAGCTGACGTCCCCATCGATCCAAATTTCTGTGCTCAAAGAAAACTGATCCACCTGGCCGAGCTGAAACGAGGTCAGGCCTACCATTTTCGCCTGGTGCGATGCTCCATTCCAGTTCAGTCTCTGCCGTTTTCGTCGGTCTTTCTCGTAGCAGAATATCGACTTGAACCTTAGATGGATCGCGCTCATCAGGTTTCGGAACAACTTGAACGTTGTCAAACAGCTGTAAAAGGAAGATATCGCGAAGAGCAGTCTTGGCATCCTCCACGTTATATAAGTTGCCCACTTGAAAATTGTGCTCGCGCTGAATAACGCGCGGATGTGTGACGCCTTTGTTTCCTGGGACAGGTTGAAGATTCTCGTCCACAAACACAGACTGGACGCGTGTGATTTCTCCCTCAATAACATGCGCAACAACTTCCCCATTTTCCATTCCATCAAAGTGTGATATGGTCCCGAAGGTCAAACCTTTACTTGTGTAGTAACCTTCTACGATGTTTTTTGCTGTCGCCAACACACGGACAGTGCAGTTCTGACTTTTGCGCGCAGCTTTCAATACCTCTTGTTCTATTTCTTTTGGCAGCACAGTCGATCCAGCGACCCTGAAAGATTGCACCTGAGGCCAGATTTTCTCCCTGAAAACAAACTCAACTGCATAACCATCATGTTTTGGAGTGACGTTCGCGTCAACATTTGCAAACAGCCCCGTGTTAAGGAGTTGCTCGAGGTCGTCGGAAAGATCTTTTTTGGAGAGCTCTGCTCCCTTGCGGGCATTGAGGCCCTGAAAAAGCTCAGACTGCGAGAATTAAGTGAGTAACCATAAAAAACAAATGAAAAGTGAACGTACCTTCGTCGGGATACCAGGTCCAGTCGGAAGGTTTGTGGCAAGCACCGATTCACAGATGAAGTTATCTTTGTTCCGGGGTTGCTTCGAGCCGCGGGGCTGTTTACCTCGACCAACATCTATATCTTCGTCCTCATCGTCCTCATCGTCCTCGTCGTTTTCATCATCGTATTCCTCGTCTTCATCCATCGTAGCGCGGTCTAATTCTTCTTCATCGGCGTTGCCGCGACCTTCCAGTCCTTCGGTATCTCCGTCCTTCAGCATCTGACTATATTCAGAGAATACAGGCAGCGCAGTCAGAAGAAAGAGATAATTGCCCTCTGACTCTTCCCCACCACTGCCTCCGTTGCCACCCCCACCGTGGCCACCACCGTTGCTGTCACCGGTATCGTCACCATTACCACGACCGTTCTGGCCACCTTCGTACGAAATCTCAACGTCTCCTACGTCAGAGGCGCTGACCTTAGTCAACTTGGGCTGGCCTGAGGTATGTTCTCGAGCCAGGGTTATTCCGAGACTGAAGGCGCGTCCATGACCAGAGTGCCCGGCTGGGCGCGACCCGCGGGTATCGCGAAACTGATGGGAATATTTCTTTCTAGTCGCTCGCGAGAGCACCGGTTGCTTGATTCCACGACGGGGACCGCGTGCGGTGGGTTGCCCTAGATCAACGCGGACCCACGTAGCGACGGAAATCACCGTGTTCATTGCCACACTACCCGTCAGTCTGTTGTGCACCGTATGGGATTTGTCTATGATTTGGTCTAACCGAATTACTATCGCAGCGTTGCGACCAATGGAGTTCTGTGTGCCGTTTCTGTCGGCCTGGCTTCAGCTAACCGACGGTCTTGGTACGCCAGGAACTGACTGGAGTGAACCGCGTACTGCAAACGCAGAAACGCGAAACTAACGATGTTGACTAATCTGTGTCATGTTTGTGCACTCCATAATCCGTCAAGACATATATGGGTAAACAGTTTGATGGGGGTACTCCCATTGAGGCTGAAAGGGAGATTGCTAAAATTCTATAATTTTGGGGCCATTTTTTAGCTTGCTTGAAAAAGTGAAAGGGAGATTGCTAAAATAAGAACAGAAGACTATCGGCGCTCGACGATGGACGCGCGCGAGAAACGGCGCGCTCGCTCGCTTGATGGAAGCCGCGGACCATGCGCGTCTAGCGACGTCCAGGGTTTGGCGTGGAACATCGCGGTGTGCACGACGTGATGGGTTGAAGTTCATATGATTAAACAGTGTGCATGCGCGCGGTTGGTTGGCCTAGGCATTTAAGACTGACCCCACAGCTTTTTTGAGGCGGGTTAGGGTTTAGTTAGGGTTTAGTGTCGGCGATGTCCGCGAGTGCGGACAGAGGCACGTGGTCGTGCACATCGTCTCCCGTCGCGTCGGACTGCGATTCGAATGCGTCCGGCGCTTCGGCGCGCTCCGCACTCGGCGTTTGCATGGCGACGAATGCCGGTTCGGCTCGCGGTCCTAGCAATCTCTTCTTCACCCGCTATTTTCTAAAATTGACTCGTCGCGACGTTGAGTCAATTTTACTATCATTCTCCATATTTAGAGCCCTTTGAAGATAGGAAAGAGCCGAGCCTTTCCATCACAAAAAAGCCGTGGGGTCAGTCTTAAATGCCTAGGCCAACCACCCGCGTACATGCATACTGTTTAATCATATGAACTTCAACCCACCACGTCGTGCACACCGCGATGTTCTACGCCAAACTCTGGACGTCGTTAGACGCGCATGGTCCGCGGCTTCCATCAAGCGAGCGAGCGCGCCGTTTCTCGCGCGCGTCCATCGTCGAGCGCCGATAGTCTTCTGTTCTTATTTTAGCAATCTCTTTTTCACTTTTTCAAGCAAGCTAAAAGATGGCCCCAAAATTATAGAATTTTAGCAATCTCTTTTTCAGCCTTAGTACTGTACCAACGTTAGACTAACGTCGTTATAGGTTAAAATTAAATATGCGACTTCGGTCTCCTTAAAGGAAGATTCTTGTAACTTTTCCGAATTTCGTTTTTTGTGCCTTCTAAAAGTTGTGTGCGAAGCTTCCTTTTAGGGGCTATCGAACGCACTTGCGTTTCCTCGATTCGGTGCTGTACTCGCAAAGTTATGCTCGTTCGGGTGACGCGGTTGGACTCTTGGCTATATTCAATCCTCCGTTAACGACGACGGCGCGGCACTTAGCGACGCGCGCGGCGCTCAGGAATGGGTTAACGCGGTGTGCGCGATGGTAGACCTACGCGTGCGTCCAGATCAAGCGTCGGATGGCGATTCTGACGACGACGGTGACGACGACGGGTGCGGTTGTTCGCGAGAGATTTCACGTTTCGCGCGCGATTCTCGTTGCCCTTGGTTCCGATCGTTCGTCCGCGAGTGCGTCGCGACGCGGCGGTTTTACGATCTGAAGACTGACGAACGTTGAGTTCACGTAGTCTCGCTGCGCTTGCGCTCGTGGGGCTCGCTGGGAATGACATCCAACGGCCACGAGTCGCAACGGGAACCGGGAAGGGAGCTCGTGGCGCAGAAGAGAAAAAGTAGACGTCGACGCAGTGAATTGCGTCGCTTAAGCGCTTCGAGGAAGTTTTACGTGACGAAAAACGCTGGGTTGGCGAGGATAGATCCCAACTATTGGTCTCTCGACAAGGTGGCGAAGAACTTCAAGTTGAAGTCGCCGAACCCGGTAGTCGTTCTGAGCAAGCATCTCAAGGCGCGCGGTGTGAATTCGCGCCCAGTGGCAAATGGTGGCCAAGATAACCCCTTGCGGCCGATTTTACACGAGATTTTGACATCACACACAAAGCTGATGATGCTGGTGACTGATTTCGTGAAAGACAACGCGGTCAAGATCAGATGGACCGACGTTGCATTCCTTCCCAGTGGCGTCACGAGCGACGCCGCGATGGCGAGAGCCGAACTCGGGGTCAACAACGCCAAACGCGCGGTCGAGGATGCTGAAAGGAAGCGGCAAAACAAAAAACGCAAGGAGGAAGACCTCTTGTGTCAAGCGATTCAAGATGCGCCCGCAATATTGGCGCGAATCGAGTCTCTCAACGATCTGCGCGCGTGTACTCGAGCGCAGCTCATCACGCTCCATCGCAGCGTTTTGAGACTTCATCCAAGGTGGCAGCTGAAAAAAGCTGACCTGATCGCCGCCCTGACGCTGGAAATATCAAAAGAGATTGAAAGTAGGAATCAGCACGCGGAGCCTCACGCTGAACTGCCCGGCGTACCGGTGCCAGCGCCCATCAACGCATCTGACGCAGAAATGCTCAAAATCACCCACATCGAGCCGATGACGGAGACTCAAACGTCACTCGAGCCGATGCCGATGGGTGGGAAAGATGGAGTGTAATACTAGTGTTGTAATCATTCTTTGATTCTTTGAAATCGGCGAAGCGTCGGCGAGTTGTGAGAATCCTCCCTGAAGGAGACCTCCCCATACATTTTCAAACGATTCGGATCCGCGGGCTGGGAGTCGCGTCATCGACGTCCGTTCGTCCCCAAACTCGGCGTGTCACGAGTTCGCTAGCTTTCGCGTCGCCTCGTAAAAAAACGCGCGGATCGCGCGACGAGCGACGCCGTGACGCGGCGCGGAGACACGCTTAAAGGAGGATCGGTCGCATATTTAATTTTAACCTACCGGTATAGGGCGATTACGAACGTTCTTACGTTCTTAATTTTCGATTTACGAACGTTTGCGCGACGGCGACCGACCGCCGTCAAACTCAGCGCGCGCCGCGCCGTGTAGGGACCGCGATGTGAATCACCGAGTGGTCTCCACAGTGCGACCGCTCGAGCGTCGACGGCGCGCGCGAGATTCGCGGTAAGTCGCGGAAACGACGGAAGAAGTTCGCGCGTTCGAGAACTCCGCGTCAGGCGATCGAGCAAGCTGTCGTGCGGGGCAGCGTGACCTTCGTCTTGACGTATCTCCAGGTGGCATCGTGAATGCATCTTTAGTGACCGATGCAGTTGAATTGCGCAGCATCTTCACCCCACCTGCCTCGACGCCGCACGAACGTTGTGAACAGTGACGACACCAATCACTGCCGATCTCGCCGTCTGAAAGCGTCTACAGCGTTCTCCGTCGTCCAAAAACTACCTTTTCCCATATATTTTTGAAAAAAAATTCTGCGGCTCAGAAATTGCTCGATTTTTCCGAAATTTGCCGCGCGCCGCGCGTCGTCGAACCGCTACCGCGAGCGTTGAAACGAGAGGTTTGAACCAACGGCACATTAATGCTCACAACGCGCCCTCGAGTGACCGCTCGGACGGCGCCGGCGCGCGGGTCCAGAAAATCAGCTCTCTGCGAATCCATATCCCTTTTTGGGGGGGGGCTAATTCCGGTTCCTGACTCGTCAAAGTATACGTTGTTCACGTCACCGGCATCAAAGGCAATGTCTTTACGTCGTATGGTAGTGAAATAATTTCAGTGAAATTTAGGGGCGGGGGACTTGCGCAAGACACCCCGAAACTGCCGAAATTTGCATTGCACTTGCATCTTGCAGGTGCAAGATGCCCCCATTTCCAGGGTAGGTAGGAAGACGCCATTTGTCCGAACATTATAATTATACTGTTTACCCATATGATCACCCTTAAACCCTAAACTAAACCCTAATCCATACGATAATTTGACGCAACCGCCCCTGAATCGCGTGTTTGGAGCCCGTTAAAAACACCCGCGTGTGCGAGCGCCCACCCCTAATCTCTTGCGCAAGACGCCCCAAAACACCTGCAATTTGCACCTGCAATTTTGCTCTTGCATCTTGCAGGTAAAAAACCCCCACCCCTAGTGAAATTGAGACCCACCCAAGACGGTTGGCGAAAGTTGGAACATACGTGCACTTCACAACACTCACACCTACCAGCCCGTGCACCCCGAAGTGACTCTTTCCTGCTCAACTACCAGCTTGAATTCTTTAAGCTGGCAGGCATTTCGGGCGGGCAGACGCGTCAGTTGACAAATGGAAAATTGAAGTCAATTGGCTTACCGTCGGCGACATGCAGTACGAGCGTGTGCGCAATTGGACTGTGGGGACTGAAACGGTGACAGCTTTGAGAGTGGCTGGCGATGGTAAACGGTGAGTCTGTGTGAATCAGCGCCTTATGTAGGATGACAATTACAATAGAGTTCTTGTTGGCAAGGCGGACGGTACTTGTGGAGTTTGGGACTTATCGATCGGGGAGTATCTGGGATGCTTTCGAGTCCACAACAAAGCGATTACGGACTGCAGTTGGTCTCACGACGACACATTTATTATAACGGCCTCAGATGATGCTCTAATCATACTTTGGGAAGCGTCTCTACAGAAGTGCACAAAAATACTCAAAGGTCATTGCTCTTCTGTGATCTGCTGCTGTACGAACGGATCCAACTCGCTGATAGCGAGCGGTTCTTTTGATGAAACTGTGCGACTTTGGAGTGCGTTGTCTGGGGAGTGCACTGCAGTCATTCCTGCTCACGCCGATCCAGTCACAAGTGTCAATTTTGCCAAGGATGATACTCTTCTGTTTAGTACTAGCATTGATGGAAGTTGTCGTATTTGGGATGTCAATACTTGTGGTTGCTTGTACACAATTTCTTTAAATAGCTATAAACATCTCACTAACGTCCTATTCTCTTCAAGACTCACTTCAGTCTTACTTGGTACGCACGATGGGCTGTTGTGTCGTGTTCGTCTTCGAGATGGCACAATCGCGCCTATCCTGTCCGGAATTCGAGCGACAGAAATCTTGCATGTGTCTCAACTTGAACCTGACTGTGATACTTTAGTCGTTGGAACTAAAAAAGATCAGTTCGTTGCTTGGAGGCTCCGCGATCTCTACCGAGATACTTCGGAGGAAAACGTGTGTGAAATCAAATTTATGATGAAAAGCGATCAATGCGCACGCGGACCCCGCCTTTTTGACTGCACTAATGATGGTTGCATGGTAGTAGTGTGTGAACGTCACGAAATTAGTGTGTATCAAGTGAGTCATGATATCGCGTTCTAGCAGACAGGTGGCTCAACTTCGTATTCAAAACTTGCTTCAGACAATTTTATGTATGTCGTCGCGGCTATAAAAGGAACACCTATTCAAGAATCGCAAAAGAGCTGAAAGATACTACTGATCCAGTTTTCTCTTTTTCTCCTTCTTCTCCTTCTTTTCTTTTCTATCCTTCATCGGTGCGGACTTATCCGATTTCTTGGGAACTTCAGAAGGTGACACGCTCGACTTGATCCCGGTACCTTCGGCTGAGAGTCTTTTACTCTGTGAATTTGGCCCAAGTCCCCAGCGTCTTGGATACGTGTCTCTTTCCATAACCACGCGTTTCACTTTCGCAACGCTTCCATGATCACATGTCGCCATGACCGCAGTCGTCATCTCAGCGATACCGATCGCGATTGCTTCGCCTTTCGTGGTCATCAAAATACACTCATTACCAACTTCAATTCCAGCTTCATATCTTAGCAAACCAGGGAGCATGAGCTTGGCACCGTAGCAGATGGCATTGACAGCAGAATCTTTGATCACTATGCGTTTGTAGTTTGTAAGTAAAACTTCAAGAGGCATCACAACACGTCGAATGTACCCATCATCCTTCAAGTTGTCGGATGCCCACATAGCATCCAGAACGTCGTGCATCGTCGAGAGGTTCTTAGCCTCGGAACAGATCCCGGAACGAACTCTTCGAAGTTCCTGCATATGTCCACCAACTCCCAAAAGCAAGCCAAGGTGAACACATAAAGTACGAATGTATGTTCCTGCTTCGCACGAAACCCAGAAAACTACGAGGTTCCGTGCTTCATCGAACTCAAGAAGCTTGCTTTTATATATAGCTCGAATGCGTAACTGCCGCTTCACTGCAGAAATTAGAGGTGGACGCTGGAAAAGTGCGCCGGTGAGGGTTTCAATGCCACGTTCCACAGCACCTTTACCTCCAGCAGGTGTCGCGTGAAGTCGGCAAACGCATACGTATTCTTTACCCGCTCCTTGCTGAGACTTCACGAGACGAGTGGCTCGATCGATGCAGACAATAAGAGAACCAGTTACTTTTGGATCAAGAGTACCACTATGACCCGTCTTCTCAACTCGTAAAATTCGCTTCAACCATGCCACTACTTCGTGAGACGATGGATTTGCAGGTTTGTCCAAGTTTATCACGCCGTATCGCAGGTACTCTGCTAAGGGCCTTGTTATTGGCGAGCTCCCACAGGGGATCGGCGTGTAGTGCCCAGTTCGTACCTGGAAAACGATGTGAAGCAGAGGATGTCATAATACACTACTTTCTCACCATAAGCTTATCATAATTTTTGAGTAACAGTGGCCAAGACGAAGTGTCTAGTGGTGGCGTGACGGCTTGAGGTTCAATTTTCAACTCCTGTGGCGTATAGGTTACACGACAATTAAAGACAAAGGCGCGAGTCTCACCTCGGTGCGCGTCATGAGTTACTAAAGTCAATATTCAAATAGAGTGGTCAAACGGTCACGGACGGAACTGGAGGGAGACGAGCGAAGTGTCAGGCGTTCCGCCGCCAACTCCAGCAAAAAGTCGAAACGCGAGTTGTGACCGAGATGTAGCAGTACAGTGTCAATATGTAATTCGAGTCAAACCCCTTAACCACTCGGGCACGTCCGCCATGTGGATTACTTATAACGTTTTGTCACGCGGACGGCAGGATTCGAACCTGCGCAGGCAGTGCCTATTTGATAACTGGCGGAAATCGTTTCAGACAGTCATTGCGAGAACGACTATTTTATAGTATATATTGACCGGCCTGGGTCACGGGACGTGTATAGAGGCACTTCCCGCTTAACAGCACTTGAGACTTGCACGCGTGCACGCTACGAGAATAAATCCAGAAGTGAAGCGCGCAGCATGCTGCAGAACAGTACTAAATCTCAGGACAGGGACGAAAACTTAGAATGTAACTCGGGGAGACGTCTGTTTGTCGGAGGTTTGGCTCCAGACGTCACGGCGGCTGACCTGCGTAGACGGTTCGCGCCTTTTGGCGAGGTCCTGTGCGTAGATTTAATATTGGATAAGTGTGCGATGATGGGCGAATCTCCTTGCAGAGGTTTTGCCTTCGTGGAGCTGAGGGTGTCTGATGACGTCAAGTTAGGGAGGTGCATTTCGACACTCAACCGTTGTACGTGGCGAGGACGAGAAATGGTTGTAGCGCGTGCACAACCGTCGTATATGGAGCGTATGAGACGAGAGGGTTTACTTTTGGGAGAATGCACAACTTGACATTCCTGGCGTTAGTTCCTTCTTTCAGGTGAAAGTAAATTTTTTACACTCAAACCGAAGGCTTCGTCCAAAGAAAAAGAGATGTAGCTATTGTTACTAAAATAAGAGAGTCTTTCGGGCGACTTTCAAATGATGAGCACAATTATTGTGTGCTACAACACTTAGACTTTGGCCGAAAATCACCCTCTGCAGCAGAAATGCGTATACTTCTATTCTGTTTGTTTGAAGCTTCTTCTGCATTTACTGCTTGATTCTAGTCAACGTATTATCATGATCTAATGGCAAGACGAACAGGAAAACGTACATACCTTCGAAACAATGTGTGGTCAAAGTGTGACGTGATCACACTATATTTTTATTAGTCAAAATCCTCTGAAGCGGCGACATATAAGTCTTTCCAACACACCCCCTTAGCCTTCACTAGTCCTTGACCGTTCTCCTTCGTGCACTCTTAAAGCATCCCTTAGGCTCGGCAGAGCACGGTGAAGCCGTGCTCAGCTTTGCTTCAGTAACTGCTAATCGCTAGCTTTCACTAGCCTGTAGTCGTGCAATGTGAACGTCATACTAGTTTTCACATGCCTTTACTAGTGCTGTTGCTTCTGAAGGGTTGGATTTCATTTCGTAAGTGCGTTTTGTAACGCTATAACTCAAAATCCGTTCGCTCCAAGACACGTTCCTAGGAGGCGCAGGGCCCGCCAGGCACCCACGGCGCGTAACAATCGACTCAGAGATTAATCAGTTTCAGTCGACACGCATTCCAGCTTCACAAGATGTCGTTCAGATAATAGGTATCACGGGCGTCTCTTCGTCACGGCGAACGTATTCGCAAAAGTAAAATAGTGATGACCGTATTTTCATCGCTTTGTCAAATATTTCTCAAAAAAGGGGGTATTTTCACGGCAGTGCCCGATGAGTCATGTGTCATGATTCAACGACATGTGTCATGATTTCGACGCAAGTTACCGGATGCGGCGCCGATCCTCTTGGCCCATGGATGCGCGCACATGCATGATAAACGGTGTGTGAACAACCGTTTGGAGCTCGATTTTTGACTTTCGACTTCATTTGCGCGTCAAAGCACTCGTGCATGCACAATTTGTGACAGTTTCAAATCGCAAGCGGACACCGACCATATGACGCAATGGAAAAAAACATACATAGGCTAACTCACCTGAAAATAGCGGAAATTCGTCTAGGTTACCCCCGAAAGAGTTATAGCCTGAAATAATCCCAACGTCAAATGATAAAAAGTTGCTTCGTGGTGACATTTAGCCATATGTGATGGTGACCCGCGGAGCCATACTTGTGATAGTTTGTCAGGCTACTCAACACGCTTAGGTTCGTTCGCCCCGCTAAAGTGTGAAAACGATCCGTTGACGTCCGCTCGACACAACTTCACTTTGACACCCGTGCGGAAACACCTTTCGATATTTCGGATCATGCGTCGTAACTTGCGTGAAATCGCCTGGCGCGTTGCGCGCGAGACTAATTTCAGGCGTCGTGTAGGCGTGAAAGTGCCCGTGACGGGCGCGAACGCTGGCGCTCTCGTTGGACCCACAACTGGATCCAAAACTTCCACCATTGCGAGAAATTACTCTGCAACAAATCCAATCGCCACTGGTAAGGTAACGCAAGTGATCGGTGCAGTTGTCGACGTCCAGTTCGATGATCACCTCCCGTCGATCCTTTCTGCCCTGGAAGTTGAAGGGCACGATGTTCGGTTAGTGCTAGAAGTTGCACAGCACCTCGGGGAAAACACGGTCAGAACGATCGCCATGGATACTACGGAAGGCTTGGTCCGTGGACAGCCCGTACAAAATATGGGGAGCCCGATCCAAATTCCTGTGGGTAGAGCTACCCTTGGGCGAATTATGAACGTGATCGGAGAACCCATCGATGAATGCGGTCCCATTTCAACGACAACGTCGCTTGCGATCCATCGCGAAGCCCCTCCATTCGTCGATCAAAGTACGGAGATGCAAATGCTCGTCACTGGTATCAAAGTTGTCGACTTGCTTGCCCCTTACCAGAAGGGTGGTAAAATTGGACTGTTCGGAGGTGCAGGTGTTGGTAAGACTGTCTTCATCATGGAACTTATCAACAATATTGCCAAAGGACACGGTGGATTCTCTGTGTTTGCCGGGGTCGGGGAAAGAACTCGGGAAGGAAATGATCTTTATCACGAAATGATCGAAGGTGGAGTAATCAAACTTGGTGATCAGGCCAGTGACTCGAAGTGTACTCTTGTCTATGGTCAAATGAACGAGCCTCCTGGAGCGCGTGCGCGAGTCGGCCTCACCGGCTTGACGGTTGCTGAATATTTCCGCGATTTCGAAGGACAGGATGTGCTATTCTTCGTGGATAATATCTTCCGATTTACTCAAGCAAACTCAGAAGTATCCGCGTTGCTCGGTCGTATTCCATCTGCAGTTGGTTACCAGCCAACCCTTGCAACTGATCTTGGGGGACTCCAAGAGAGAATTACAACGACAACAAAAGGCTCTATCACGTCCGTGCAAGCCATTTACGTCCCAGCGGATGATTTGACCGACCCTGCTCCAGCCACCACTTTCGCGCACCTCGACGCGACCACTGTGTTATCTCGCTCCATCGCAGAAATAGGCATCTACCCAGCGGTAGATCCACTTGACTCAACTTCGAGAATGCTTTCACCGTTGGCACTTGGCGATGAACACTACAACACGGCTCGTGGAGTCCAAAAGATCTTGCAGGATTACAAAAATCTTCAAGACATCATCGCCATCCTCGGCATGGATGAACTCTCCGAGGACGATAAATTGACTGTGTCTAGAGCTCGCAAGGTGCAGCGATTTTTGTCTCAACCGTTTCACGTAGCCGAAGTCTTTACCGGAAGTCCGGGTAAGTACGTAGATTTGAAGGATACTATATCGGGATTCAAAGGGCTGATCAATGGCAACTACGACGACTTGCCAGAAATGGCATTTTACATGGTTGGCGACATGAATGAAGCGGTTGCCAAAGCGAATGACTTGGCCAAACAGGTTAAATAATGTAGCCAAGACACGGTATATGTTGTCGCACGACAGCGTGATAAATATATGCATTGTAACAACCAATAAGACCAGCCTTTTACTACAAAATACTTTACCTCTCCACGGCATAGTTGAATACTAGGAGGAGCTCGTCAAGACGCAGTGCACCAAGTTCTAAAATATCTAGCACATCTCGAGATACTTCCTCTTTCCGACAGTGACGTGAATCAGAAGGCTGAATCATTCGACAATGGAGCTGAAGTTGCGAAAGTAAACGGAGATGAATGTTTGTCAAAGTCTGAGTGAGTTCACGTTTGACGACCGCATCGACTACAGTGCAGTCTACGCGCCACAAGTAATTCGTTCTAGAAGGGGCATGGTCGTTCGTGCGAGCAATTTCTTGCATTTGAACGTATCCAAATTTCAATAGTTTGTAAAGAATGTCTCGTGTATCCTTTACTGGAACCATTGAAAGATCAGCCACCTGTTTCTGCTCCAACTGTGTTTGACCTAGCATCCTGTAAATGCGAAGGGCTTGAACTCCTAAGCGCGCTCTTATCACCGCCTCGACATGTTTTCGACGTGATGAGCGTCGAATGGCTCTAACACCGACTAGTTTGTCCATTTGCATGGGAATTTCGGGAGTGATGACAGTGTAAAGGCTGTCATCAAAGGTACATGGACACACTCGCCAAATTGTTGGTACTTGAGTCCCTTCAGAAATTTGGTCAGTGTGATGTAGCTGCGCATCGTGAGGCAGTATGGAATCCGACTTCACCCCAGGAGCCTGTTGTAGCAAACCAGCGTTCACGAGTTCATCAAATGCTGCCAAGAAAGCGGTGTTGTCAACCACATCGAGCTTGACTGCACCTCTATTCCTTCGTCCGTTATTCGCCACGAAAAGAATTTCGTCGCGAGACATTGCACCATGTAGTATTACGGAGAGAATAATTAAGAAATGTTGATGACTGTACTTAAATTTGGTAAAGATCAGATACCGTGGGTATCGTCGTCTACACATGGTTTGATTCAGGTCAATACTGTACGTGACTATTCTTTGTGCTCGCTGCCGATATCCAATGTGACGCGCTGTCGTACAGCCGTGCTTGAGCAAAGTATACAATATAAGCCCACATCGACGCTTTGTGAAGGATACGCTGCGCGCTATGTCGTCGAGAGTTAGGTTTTCTCGTCGAGAAACGACTTCGAAAACTTTTCGAGCAGCAAGTCCGAAGTCTTCTTCTATCAACTGCGTCGCGAAATGGACATCCTTGCGTACGCTCATACGCAGTTCACGCGATTATTATGATAATAGCCCACGATTCGCGCGCCGTCGTGCGACGCTTGACGAGTGCACACCGACGCAAGTCTCACTCTCAACCCTTCAGGGCGGGGAAGGAGGTATCAGAGAGGGGTCTGAGAGAAAGAACCAAAAAACACTAGGGGTAGGGGACTTGCGCAAGACGCCCAAAACTGCTGCAATTTTCCCTGCAATTGCATCTTGCAGGTGCAAAATGCCCCCATATTCCAGAGTAGGTAGAAAGGCGCCATTTGTCCCAACATTAGCACCTTGAACTGTTGAACACGGAAAAATTTATATATCGCCCCTTTAGAGAGTCCCTACATGACTGACGAGTCACGAACCGCCAAATACTTCATACATTGTGAATTTTAGCGTTATCATGCCATTGCGTCATACCGACTCCCGGGTGTTTCCACCTTGCGAAAATTCGTGAAAAACCTGATGTGTGGCGCACACGAGTGCATCCAGGCGTTGCGACGCAAACTTTAGATGATTAATCGCTCGCAAACAGTGACATATACTCCAAGTTACATGAATTAAGCAGTGACGCGTCGTTAGCACACTCACACGTGTGCCCACTGCATCATTTATGTCGCAGTTGCCTTCCACTGTCACCCAGAACTGTTGTATTCCAAACCCTATACAGGGTTTAGTCAGGGTTTAGTTAAACCCTAGGAAATGTTCATCGCGCCGAATACTACTCGGAATGCGTTGCGGCGACGTGTCCGCTTCAAGAAATGTCAGGCACACGTAGTCAAAACGTCGTGTGGAAGGAAGCACACGGCGGAACGTGTCTGTGGGGATCCATTGATGTTACTGTTCGCGATGCCTAAACATG